AATTTTGGTTTTTGAGTTTTTGGTGAAATTTGGCAGTGTGGCACAGTAAATGGTGGTTATAGACTTCGCGCACCATATTATTCTCAATTTATAATATATATGGTTGGATATTTTTATGATTTATTATTTTGTTAATATTAAAGTTGATGCTATTTTCTTTATTTGAGCTGTTTATATTAATTAATGAATGCTTCCTTTTTAGTCTATTTGTCATTAAAGAAAATTTTTAGTTGATTTTTTTATCTTATCTTTGTTCAATTAATTGAACAAAATAACAGTTTTCATCCACTTTATTACCACAAAGAACAATGGGAATATTTTCACACACTCGAATCAAATCTCTATGCCAGTTTGGAACATTTTTGTATGTAATACGTGAGGTCACATCAAACATAATTACAGCACATTGACCCTGAATATAATATCCATCTCTAAGACCACCAAATTTTTCTTGTCCTGCAGTGTCCCATGTATTAAAGCATATTGGGCCGAAATTTGTATGGAAACTTAGTGGATGAACTTCAACACCAAGGGTTGCTAACCAAATAAAGAAATAATATTAAATGTTATCATTTTTGTTGTATCATCATTATTAATGGCTGAATGTTGATCATGTATGGTTAGTTATGTTGACTTACCCATATACTTTTTTTCAAATTCTCCTGTTAGATGACGTTTAACGAAGGTAGTTTTGCCAGTACCGCCGTCACCAACTATATGTCAAATTAGTCAAAATACAAAATTAATGAAACCCCTTTCAAAATATCTTTTTAGAAAATACAGTAATAATTAATAATTTACCGAGGACAAGTTTGAAAGTTGGGACTTCTTGCTGGGTCATTTTTAAAAATTAATGTGTATTATTATTATTATTGTAAAAAAATTTTCTTTTTTTGATAAAAATTCAGATTTTTTGGTGACACAAACTAAAATCCTTCATTTTTTAGTTGAAAAAAAAAAAGAAGAGCAATTTAAAAGTTGTTGAAATATTTTGTGATTGTTGATGATATTTAAGAAGAAATGCTAAATCTTAAAAGGCTTCTCACTGTGATTCATCCAACTATGCATATTTATATATACTTGATTATTTCTACACATATTAGCATTACTTCTTTTTCACATAATAATAATATTTATTTTAATTGGGGCATACTGCAACAAAACCAGACAAAATGACATTGGTATTACCAAGAATTTCAGGGATTAAAATTTAGTAATGTGATTATTAAAATCTTCCATTTGTTATCCTCTTAATATTAAGTGGTATATAGAATTACCATATATAAAAATAGTTAATATGAAGTTAATTTACATTAGGTCTACCATGGAACCCAAGAATTATAGCACCATTAGAAGTATTTTAAAAAAGGAACAAGGTGAGAATTTGCTCCTTATATTTTCAAAATAAATGATACTCAGACACTGGAAGCTTATCTAAAAAAATAAAGAATTACTTATGAAATTTACCAAGAAGAAAAATAATAAATGTTGGAAAAAGAAAGCAGGATGAAAGTGTATTATTACCCAACAAAAAACAGAAACCTTTGGACAAAAAAATCTAATACAAACAAACTTACTGTTTATTTCAATGAGATTCCTGAAACCAATACTAATGTTCACTCCAACTATAATTTCAAGTCCTTTTTGATGATTGAGAATTGACCTTTTTTTTTTTAAGTAAATATGTTATAATCAAGAAATTAATTCTGAAAAAATGAATCAGGACAAACATTTTACTTAGTGGGGTGGATGAAAACTGTTATTTTGTTCAATTAATTGAACAAAGATAAGATAAAAAAATCAACTAAAAATTTTCTTTAATGACAAATAGACTAAAAAGGAAGCATTCATTAATTAATATAAACAGCTCAAATAAAGAAAATAGCATCAACTTTAATATTAACAAAATAATAAATCATAAAAATATCCAACCATATATATTATAAATTGAGAATAATATGGTGCGCGAAGTCTATAACCACCATTTACTGTGCCACACTGCCAAATTTCACCAAAAACTCAAAAACCAA